CTTTTTTCTTTTTGCTTATGTGGTCCTGAGGAATCGAACCCAGGGCCTCAGGCATGCAAGGCAAGCGCTCTACCACTGAGCCACCTTCCCAGCCCGGAAAGTTTTATTTAGAATTACGACTATCATGATAGTCACGAGTGTCCTCAGCCATCAAGCCTTCCCCAAAGGGTTCTGCTTCCTGTTTAGTTTCTGAATTCTAACATACCCCTCCCCTGGTCTTTTCTTTCCCACTTGCCTACCCCCTATCCTCATCTTCTCCACACCCTGCCCATCAGCACTACTTCTGCCATATTGGTATTCTGCCCATTGCTCTTTTGGAAAAGTTACTCCTATTCAGTTTTAACATGGCCCACTGGTATTCCCCAGTCCCATGCCCTTTGCCTCTGTGTGGCCTCACCTTTAACCCTTTTCCCCAATGGGGATTCTATGGCATTCAGCTGGTGCAGGTGCACTCTCAGCCCGCCTTACAAGCCCTCATAAATTGCTACAGAGATGGCTCCCCCCACCTCGCCCAACCCAATCTGCCTACACAAACTCATCTTTAAACACAACCGCTAATCCCCAAAAGCTCTGAAAAACCTAATTGCTTAAATGGTTTGCTTATAACCCAGATATTCCCAGGCCCCTGTTGGGAGGGTCACATAATGTATGGAAGAGTTATCCCTTTTCTAAAATCCAGAAACTTCTACTTTCTGAAGCATATCTTACCCCAACGGTGCTGCAAGAGATTATAGATTTGTCTGTCCCCCCCCCTCCACACTTAGGTCGAGAGTTGAAATAAATACTTGGGGATTTACGTATCTGTGCCCCAAACTTAAGTATCTACCTTCTGAATTTATGTCTATTTAGTTCCACTGGTCTTCAATGAATTACAAACTTTACAAATCCTGTGGTCTGGAAACTTGCTGTACTTTTGGATTGTTATCTGGGTCTACAGAGTTGTATTCCATCTATGGAGAAAGCTTCACCAGAAGTCCAAGGGACTGATTCTAGGCGAATCACTAAGGTACTAGATGGTACAATGTAAAATAATTTATATAAATATATTAAATAATGCTCACTAGTCGATACTAAGCTCTTTGGAAGTGGTCTATTCATTGCACCTGAGAGAGAAGAGTTAAGAAATGGCTTAATTTTGTATTTATTATCTCTCTAGTTACATATTTAAGGACCTGTCTTAACGAAATTATAAACAAAATTCTACTCATTAGCTATTTAATACTGTGAACAGGGAAAGGTCAGCAAACAAGTACTGAATGAAAGGGGAATGAAATTCTAACTTTTTAAAAATAGATGCTATTACCAGATTCTAGTGGCTCATGCCTGCAATCCTAGATACTTATGAGGCTGAGATCTGAGGACTGAGACTGGAAGCCAGCCTGGGCAGACAAAAATCCAAGAGAGATCTCCAATTAGCCAACAAAAAAAAGCTGGATTGGAGGTGTAGCTCAGGTGGTAGAGCACAGCTGTGAGTGAAAATGCAGAGTAAGAGCATGAAGCATGAGTTCAAGCCCCAGTGCTGGCAGAATACAACAACAACAAAATAACAATGATAATAATAAAAATAGTATCAAGCAGATTTTGATCTGAGATTCTCCCTCTTACAACAAATTCTGAAAGAACAGATATTCTTCATGATAGCTTAGTAACTCTGAATTAAAATACTTATCATATATTGGTATAATTTGTGGAGGGGAAGGGGAAAAACAAGTCGTTTAAATAAGGATACAGGTAGACCCGTTGCAACAATGAGAAGTACAAGTTGTCATGTCGAAAATGAACTTTACAACCTTGGTGGGGGCGGGGGGAGGCTGGGAAGGGATGGGAAGGGGATAAAAAGGAGGAGGCTACAATGCTTAATAAGAAATGTACTCATTATCTTGCCCATGTAATTGTAACCCCTCTGTACAGTATGTTCACAATAAAAAATTTAAAAAAATACTTATCATAGAAATCTAGAATTCCTCTTTGAGGGCTTTGCTGCTTTATCATGGCTTTCCTTTCACTTTCAAGTAAATTTACTCAGTTTAACTTAAAAAATATAAAATTAAAAAGCCTGGTGCAGATGGCTCACCCCTAGCTACTTGGGAGTTTGAGAGCTGAGGACTGTGGTTCAAAGCCAGCCTGGGCAAGAGTCCATGAGACTCTTATTTCCAACTGACCTGCAAAAAAAAAGCCAGAAATGGAGCTGAGGCTCAAGTGGCACAAGCACTAGCTTTGGTGTGCAAAGCCTGAGTTCAAGCCCCAGAATTGGCACAAAAATAAATCAATACATAAATAAAAGAAGTCTAGCCAGGCCACTAACCACCTTGGAGATGAACTAACAGTAGTGCTTGCAGTCTCTATGTTTAACTGTGTGTGGAGATTCTGGGCATACATGTACAGGTTTCTGCCTCCCTCTTGGATGAGGTAAATTGGGGACATTTCCACCTATCTTTGTACAGCTGGGGGCAGCACCCAACAGAAGCAGTCTCTCTAGAGACAGGACCCCAACGTGATAACCAAGCATTTCCCCTTCCCAGTGGAGTGTCACCCCATGTTTATTTGTGTGACATATGTTTACAACATCACATAACTTATGCCTACAGCCATCTCCTTCATGGAAACTTGTTTTTCTAAAACAAGAAGCTCCAATACAGGTACAGGTGGGAACATTTGGACTGAAGGAGGTACCCATACAAGAGGGTGGATGTGGGGTTGCCTCCTCCGTTGACCTTCCAGAGTCTCTGGATCAACTCTAGACTCTAGGGCTTCGAGTTAGGGAAGCAGAGCTCTATGAAGATCGAAATGTCCTTTGGCTTTTCTTCCTAAGCAACTCGATTATTTCCCCTTCTAATAAAAAACACCTGAATTTGCAGCTGTATTTGGTCATGAGATAAATGACCATCTTTAGGTAGTCATGCTGGGAATCCACTTCAGGCTTGGGCTGCCTGGTGCTGTCCACTCCGGCTTTCTGCTGCATCTCAGTCCCTGGAAACCCCTCCCACTGGGGTCACAGATGGGGTCTCCCTGCCCCAGCTCCAAACCCAGGGCCTCAGCCAATGCTGCGCCCTCTACCCTCCGCATTAAGGCAGCATCTGCCCTGCCTGTATAAACCTCAGGCAGAACCTCGTCTGCCTTGGCCTACCAGCTTTCAGTGACTCCCTCAGAAGCCACAATTCCTACAGAACCCTGGAAAACAGCATATAACCCATCCAGTACCTGTCTCTCTTAACTAACTTTTCCTGACAGTCTCCTCTGGCCACACCATGGCCCCTACCTTAGGGCCTTTGCACTCCCAACTCCTCCTATCTAAGACAATCCCCCACACAGCCTCTTATGCCCATTTTTCTGTCCCTTTTGATCTGTGCTGACAACTTCATTGACCGCACAATGCCTTTCCATGCACTCCAGGCCTACAGGCAGCCTGGCACTCAGCCTATGTGCACAACTTTCTGTGCTTCCACCAGCTCATTCCACAGTGAGGTTGAAATTTGCTTCTAAGCCGCTCAAGCCACACACTGGAATGGCAAGCCCCTGCCCTCAATGGTTCTCAAGTCTTTATCTTGAACACATGTGGTCTGTTCCCCTGGACCTCAGACCACTCCTCCTATCTCAGCCTCCCAAGCAGCTGAAATCATAGACATGTACCATTTCTCTCTACGCAATTAATGCATCTCTCTTTCCTTCTCTCTTTCTTTCCTTCTTTCTTTCACCTCCCCCTCCCCTCCCTCCCTCCTTCCCCTCCTTGGGTTATCAGGTTCACTGGCCCTTGCTGGCTTGACTGACTCACAGGCCTGACTGGCCTGATGCTAGCTGGGTTCTTTCTGCCCCGCCTCCTTACCCATGTGTAAGAGAGCCTTGGCCTTGGACTCTGGCCAACAGGTCAGTTTGGCTATGTCACAAATCTGTCTCCTGAACCCTGAGACACTGATAAGCTAGGAATTCTGGAGCAAATTGCTTATCATCCATAACTCCGTTTCCTGGGCTGAGGAAAGGAGATAATGGGTGACCCCAAGAGCAGCCACACACGCAGGCAGAGGCCATGCCTAGAGTGGGTAGTGAGTGGTTTTACTACTGTCACTATGACCAGGACTTAGCCCTGCAGAGGTTCAGCTGTCAAATCCTCATTTCTTCCTACCACCGTAATTTATAGCCTGATTTCTCTCACAAAGCCATTAGACTTCCATCTCCTTCTTTCCCTCCCTCCCTCCCTCCTTCCTTCCTTCCTTCCTTCCTCCAGTTCCAGGACTTGAACTCAAGGCCTCATGCTCTCATTTAGCTTACCACTCACAACTGGTGCTCTACCACTTGAACAACACCTTACAGCCCAACATTTTGCTTGTTAATTGGAGGTGGAACCTCACAGACTTTTCTGCCTGTGCTGAATTTGAACCTGGATCCTCACATCTCCTGAGTAACTAGATGTGATTCACACATAGCCCATGATACTCCACTCAAAGGCCTTCAAGATTTTCAACCAAATTAAGTCCTACATGATCGTATGCATCATCCTAGGCTTACATCAAAAACCACATCTAGCTGACTGAGGGATTTTCAATTTTCAATTTTCCATCTGACACCTTTGTTCTCATTTCCAATACCTGTAGCACCTATCCCACTCTCTCTCTCTCTCTCTCACACACACACACACACACACACACACACACACACACCACACCTAACTACTGGTGGGTACAGAGGAAGA